GACGCGTGTGACGGGGTGTGCCAAAATTGGCACGGGTACGCCATGCGGACGCTGCCACCAGAGCCGTCGGTGGAGCACCCTATGGGGCCGCGGAACGTGCAAGGGTTGGGGTGGAACTGCAGGCGGACCCTGCCATTGGGGCCTTCGGCGGAGCACCCTATAGGGCCACGACACTTGTGAGGGGTGTGCCGAAATGGGGGGGGGAACCGCATGCGAACGCAGCACTGTGGCCTTCGGTGGAGCTCCCTATAGGGCCACGAAACGTGTGAGGGGTGTGCGGAAATGGGGGTGGAACCGCATGCGGGCGCTGCCGCTGGGGCCTTCGGTGGAGCTCCCTATGGGGCCACGAAACGTGTGAGAGGTGCGCCGAAATGTGGGTGGAACTGCATGCGGACCCTGCCACTGGGGCCTGGGTGGAGCACCCTATGGGGGCCACGAAACGTGTGAGGGGTGCGCCGAAATGGGGGTGGAACTGCATGCGGAACCTGCCACTGGAGCCTTCGGTGGAGCTCCCTATGGGGCCACGAAACGTGTGAGAGGTGCGCCGAAATGGAAGTGGAACTGCATGCGGACCCTGCCACTGGGGCCTGGGTGGAGCACCCTATGGGGGCCACGAAACGTGTGAGGGGTGCGCCGAAATGGGGGTGGAACTGCATGCGGACCCTGCCACTGGGGCCTTCGGTGGAGCTCCCTATGGGGCCACGAAACGTGTGAGAGGTGCGCCGAAATGGAGGTGGAACTGCATGCGGACCTGCCACTGGGGCCTTGGGTGGAGCACCCGATGGGGGCCACGAAACGTGTGAGGGGTGCGCCGAAATGGAAGTGGAACTGCATGCGGACCCTGCCACTGGGGCCTTCGGTGGAGCACCCTATGGGGGCCACGAAACGTGTGAGGGTGCGCCGAAATGGGGGTGGAACTGCATGCGGACCCTGCCACTGGGAGCCACCGGTGGAGCTCCTAGGGGGGCCACGAACGTGTTGTGAGGGACGAAATGGGGGGGGAACGCATGCGGACCTGGCACTGGGGCCTGGGTGGAGCACCCTATGGGGGCCACGAAACGTGTGAGGGGTGCGCCGAAATGGGGGTGGAACTGCATGCGGACCCTGCCACTGGGGCCTTCGGTGGAGCTCCCTATGGGGCCACGAAACGTATGAGAGGTGCGCCGAAATGGAGGTGGAACTGCATGCGGACCCTACCACTGGGGCCTGGGTGGAGCACCCTATGGGGGCCACGAAACGTGTGAGGGGTGCGCCGAAATGGGGGTGGAACTGCATGCGGACCCTGCCACTCGGGCCTTCGGCGGAGCACCCTATGGGGCCACGAAACGCTGTACTCGGTGGGTGAAACGCAGGGAGGAGGGAGAAGGGGGAGGGGGGAGAGGAGGAAGGAGGAGGCGGGAACGCGGGGCACCGTCTCTTCAAAACGAGGACCCAACACCACAGGAGAGGGACAGGCCCAGCTTAAGCCCAAGGTCACGCCACGATTCGCGCTGGCGCCGTGTGGGAACCAGCCGTTCCTAGGTGCTCCCAGACTGACGACCTACCAGACCACCCCAACCCAACCTGGAGACCCGAATTTCGGGTTGGGGGCGGTACGGGTTCCATGTGTGGTTTTTCAAGGTTCCCCGACCCCCCCCCGCCCACTCGAAACGGCGGGCAAACTGAGGCCTTCGGGTTGGGTTGGGGGTGGTTTGGTGGGTGGTGTCAGACGGCGCCAGCGCGAATCGTGACGTGACCGGCCCCTTCCCCCCCCCTTCCCCAACCCCCCCGCCCTCACTGGTCACGCCCGTTATCGCCAGGAGCTAAGGAAGCGGTCTCCCGACACGGACCCTGGGGCCAATCTTTACCCGGCCCGTGGGCCCAGGAGCACCCGCCCCCAGACGCCGAAGCCTCCGAGCAAGAGAGCTCAGCGACCTTTTGCCGAGCCGCTGAAGTTTGGAGGTGGCGATCTGTGAGCGGACTTCGGAGGAGGACGTGGACGAGGACGAGGAGAAACACGAGTAGGATCGACGAGAGGAGGCGGTAGTGGAGGAGGAGGAGGAGGAGGAGGTGGAGAAGGAGGAGGAGGAGGAGGCGAACACGGAGAAGGCGAGGCGGGGGGGAGCGGCCACCGGACCAGTTTGGAGGCGGCGACATCCGAACCCGAGCCCCACGAACCATGGATTCTCCTGGCTCTCGTTGGGAGGGGGGGCGGGATTCGGATTCTGCCACGTGCTCGGCGAGGTCTGGACCCCATTCCCGCCGCCCATCGAGCTGCCTGAATCGCGAATCGGCGAGATAGGGTTCGGATTTCGCCGCCGAGTTTGGGGGGGCTTCCGACCCCCCCTCCCCCCTCCATCCCTGCCGCAGGCAGCAGGCAGCAAGATAGTGTATCAGTTCGGCCCTCCCTCCGGGTGGACTCAGAAAGTCTTTCAACCCTACCTTTCATCGGAGACGGCCGACCAAGATATCGGCGGCACTCCTCCTCCCCTCATCCCCATCCCTGCACCCTGATCCTCCTCCTCCTCCTCCTTGCTGCTGCTTCTCGTCCATCCCTTCTTCTTCGTCTTCTTACTATTCTTATTATTATTAGTATTATTGGTATTACTCTTACTATTATTCTTATTATTATTCTTAACATTATTATTCTTATTTTTCTTAGTATTATTATTCTTATTAGTCTTCTGATTATTATTATTCTTATTCTTATCCTTATTCTTCTTATTATTATTATTATTCTTATTATTATTATTGTTAGTATTATTATTCCTTCTCAATAACTACTAGGGCGGGCCAGGCCTTTCGAGAGAGAAATCCTCACCGCTTACGTTCTTGAAACTTGAAATCTCCAGCAACTGCACCGATGGAGGGTCGGTCGTCTCGCCTTGGCGCCGCGCACACTCGTCTTCATCATTTTCCAGCATTTACAAGGATGGGGTGCGGGTCGCCTCAAAAAAACGGGGCTCTCGCTTTGGCGTCGCGCACACTTGTCTGAAACCCGCCACCGTGCCCTTGAGGCACGAGTTGGAGTGTCCTCGGGCCCTTTCAGGCCATTTGCCTCATCACTTACGCCTCAGCCCTCAATCATGAAGATTCTCATTACTGGGGGGCCGGACCCCAAATTACAAAATCTCTTGAGGCTCCCGGCGTGGCCCCTGGGGATCCCAGCGTGCCCCCTGGGCCGCGTCGCGTTTTGTCGAATCA